TCTTCTCGGGATGCCATTGGACGCCATATATGGGACGGTTCGGGTCCACCGACTCAATCATCGACACATACACCACACCATTCCTGTCGGTGTTTGTCGACAATATTGTGAAATTGCTCTTCAGATCGGGTTTGCTGTTGAATGTGTCTAAAGTGACACACTTTTTGTGATAGTTGTAAGCGATTGCCTCGTCTTTCATGGACTACAGAGAATTCAACAAAAATTAACTAGTTTTAACAAAGTAATACAATGCTATTTAATTAATTAATTAATTGCAAATTACATTAATGATTTCTTTAGGAGCTGATCCAACGAGTCTAGTCTTAGACAAATCGGTGGGAAAAAAGTCAATTTTGTCGGCCCTATCCATAGCATCGCAATCAGTGAGAGTGTCGTTGGCGTAAAACTGTGCGATCAGTTCAAAGCCCAGACATGTGCCCCAAATGGGGTAATGTTTGTCTTTGAATTCCTCTTTAGTCAACCGCCACAACAGTCGCCCCGCCTTTGCGTAGCCCGACGTCTGCAGATCCTGTCCGCCGCCCGGAATCAACAGTCCGTTCGTTATATTAATGATTTTGCGGTAATAATCGTCGTTTTGGTCAATCATAACAGGGATCTAAACAAATGACCATCGGTTCAAATATTAATTAAATACATAGCAAAATGAGTTCATTGACACACTTACCACTCGGGCGCCGGCACTCTCCAAGTACTTCACATAACTGGCCGCTATATAAGACTTGGACTCATCGCTGAAGTATTTCTGTGACAATACGCCAACTAATGGCCGGTTTTGAGTCTTCGGATCAGTTGTGCACTCAATGCCCGCATTTAATGTAATTATTATAATAATTAAATATAAATAAGAGAAACACATTGTATTTATTGTTACACTCGTAACGATTAAATGATCAAAAATATTTAAAACTACACAAGAATTTTAATTAAAACTATTGTTTAAATAGTAAAATAAATGAACGAATAAATATCGTGATGAATATCCATGTATTTTCATGAATGTAATTGTAATTATCTTTCATACATGTAATCAAACTGTTTCTTTGGCTACAATTATCGCAAACATTTATCTCGTTGTGTTTGCATTCACTTTCTCGCAGTTGTTATCACATTATTTACGGGAAATATTATCGTTGAATGAATTATTAAATAAATTAATGAGAAATTGATTAAAAATTTAATTACCGGTATTATTTTTGTATTTATTATTATAGTCAAAATATTTTAACTTTCATTTCATTTAATGCACACAAAAGTCACTTAAAGTAGTTTTACTTTGAATTAAAAATCGATTAAATTATAAAATATATTTCTCTTTCAGAAACGCAACGAAATTACATTTGCATTTCCATAGAAAATAACGTCTAATCGTTATTCTAATAAATGTTATAATAAATTTTAACTTTATTATTTTTTAATCACAATTCAACATTATTAAAAATGTGACATATGGATTATAGGCTCTACCCAAACCCCCACAACATTTACATTTATTTCATAAATTATTTCAAATAACATTTTGCATACCATGGCAAGTTAGCCACTTTATTAGAACATGTTAATTCTAGTTCATAGTGTAAACTCTATGAGAATGTTTGAACATCTATTAAATAACAAGAATATCAAATTGTTTTTTGTGAAATGAAGTTAAATTGTTGTATATTCGCAAACCTTGTGTTACTATTATCTAATAGAAAATCAATAAAATGCAATGAATTCTCTCAATAGTGTACAATAAAATACAGTTAACTTTTAATTATGAAACAAAAAACACATATTTAAACACAAAATACATTAAATGAAAAAACGTTATAATCTGTTTACGAAAAATAATGAAAAATTAGTAAACAATTAAAGCATTTGAAACACAAAAATGACAGAATTTGTTAATTAAATATCTAAACAATGAAATGTATTAATAGTAAATTAGATTAAATAGCTTTGGCTTTGAATGTGTTGTGTTTGAATGGTACGCGAGTTGAGACACGAGCATTGAAACACGAGATTGTGGCCAACAGTTGGGCGATGTCTTGCCGGAGCTGAGGATTGGGTTCTTGTGCTAACATCTCCTGCAAGTGATTGTATGGCAAGACATCCGTCAACTCGTTATACAATTTCAATCTCATATTCAAATCGTTTGAATTGAGAAACAGATTGTGAATGAGTTTTAGCGAAACGCTCTTCAATTGGTAATCAAAC